GTAAACATTCTTCGTTACTTTTTTTCACGTCAACATCGTCATCACATAGCAGGTACATCTAACTTTAATCATTTCAATTCAAGGCAAAAGTACAAAAATTCTATACGTGATTCCATGCACCATGACCCACCAAATTAAAAAACAAAAGAAAACAAGAAAGGCATTAACACTTTTAGATATTAAATAATAATAATATGTTGCCAGTTTTCAGAATTTCTCAAAATTGCAGAAATTTTCAACAGCAAAAGCTATTATATTATTATTTTTATTGTTTGTATTGTATATATGTACGCATATATTGATCTCTGCATTCGAATGAATGAATGTTGCTTACTTTATTTGTCGAAACAGCCTTCAATGTTCATTTGTCGCTTATACGATTATGTTGTAGCATTGGAAATAATGGCTAGTTGTATAAACTCTCTTTCCTTCTCCTCTTGGTCATGACATCTCTATATTTGCTGAATCGTCCTTCTGCATAGCGAAAATTTTAGTCTTACCGTCTGACAATTGTCGTAAACGCTGTTGATAATTAATTCGCTGTTGGTTTTACTCTCCCCTTTTTATAGAGAAAAGCTTCCTTTCTTTTGTCCGCTTCTAGTTGTTGTTCAAAGGTCTCCTTGTGTCTAATATATTTTCATATGCTCCTGGCAAGAGCACCAGTTGCTTGCGATCACAATTTTTAAAATGATTGTCGTCGAAAAGTTTTTCTTCATAAAGTTATACTGTTGGTGTTTGCCACCCACATCACTGGCTGTACAAGGGTATATTAATGGTTTGTACGAATTTACAGAACACCTAGAAGAACATCGCACAGCCCCATTATTTATTATATCCATCCATTAAGAACCATTTTCTAAACTGATCTAAGCATGTGTGTCCGTCCGTTCAATTTGTTTTCAATTTATTGTTCAACCTACAGACTGCAATTTGTGAAATATTTAGATGAAACTTGATGCATCATGTTGATGGGTCACGGCTCCCAAACGAAAGGTGTTAAAAACGGTTCGGATAGGATCAGTTTTTCCACCACTTTACATATAATACCATATTTTGAACAGTGACTTTTATTTAAGTATGAAAAGAAAACAAGAAGACCAGAGCTAACATCTCCCCTGAGAACATCTTCTTTCCAAGACGCTGTACGAGTAGCAGCATAGTTAAAATTTGGGGATTTCTGTGCGAATCACTAAAATAATTCAATCGAAAAATAATTCAATTCAAATAATATATAAAATAATTTATTGAAAATACCTCGATGCTGCACTAGAGGATGTCATGCCAGGGATGTTTAGAACAAAATCGACAGAAAAGAATAAAAATTGTTGAACTGTCAAAGCCGTTGTGCGACAAGGTTTGAAAAATCGACTTTTGAATTATTTAAAATTTATTCATGCCGGTGATCGCGTTCTTATATCGTTCTTGATCAGTCTGGGGTTAATTTAAAAGAAAGAAAAAATAAATTAGTTTTTGATAAAAAACTGCTGTAATAGAAAGCTGGTACGCTTCTGAACACAATCACCTATGTCCGTTTGCCCATCATTTTAGAGAACTATGTGTACGTGACAATAGTATCTAAAAAATACTAATGAATACTCACTCCCCTGTGTTCATATTGCGATTAAAGCAATGCTGTAATTTTATACGAAGCAAATAGAAAAAGGAACATATAACAAAGATATAAATAAAACCACGAATATGCGGCAGTTTTCATGTTACTCGGGACAATAAAAGCTTTGGCACGTTGAAATGTCCAAAAAAAAAAAAAAAAAAAGGAAAAGGAAAGGCATGTCATGGATGCTTCTCTAAAAAACGTTTAATAAGTCAAAGACATTTAAGGAAATAGCGGTTAAAAAACGCGAAGTTATCCTCTAGCGTGACAACACTATATGACAGGTGGCAAGCGCTGCCTACGGTTGCAGCTCAAATAGGAAGGTCTGCCGCACTCACCGCACTCACCAGATATAACGGCTTCTATTTAGCGCTTGTTCAGCTCCGTACAGCATAGCTTGGCTGGCACGTAGTTTCGAAATGCTGAAGAAGCGCGAAAGCGGATCAATGATTGGATCGCTGTCAAAGCAATATCGGAAAGCGGAACGCAGAACGCGGAAGGCGGAAAAAATGAACGAAAATATTTAGTTTAATTAGCATTGTACGAATTTTTCCGCTATGAGCGGCTTTTTCAAGTGAAAAACTGATCAAAATGCATGGAAGCACTTTCTATAATATATTATCTCAGTCAGTTACCATCTGATTATCTTCTGCTACTCATTCTAAAACTAATATAAAATTTTTCTTAGAGACTCTGTACCGATGTTGAGAATAAGTGGCCAAGCTATCACTTATGGCGTAAATGCTATAAAGTCAGTGCCTTTCGCTGTCTAAATTCTAAATCGGATGCTTCTACCTACGGGTTATGTACATATAGGTGTCAGTTAGGCTTATCCTTCGTCATCGTATCTGAAGACCTAGAAAAAATAAATCTTGTTCATGGGCTACTAAAAGAAGCTACTAAGACCTAAGGGAAGTGAGATTGTCTTGCCACTTGCGCTTCTACAACTTTGTCCTACATGCTGCACATATAGCAGGATATAAATAAATATTTACATATATATATATGTATATCATAAAAACATATATATTAATGAACTAAAAGGTTATAAATAAAATTTGCAGCCTGATAAGGATTTTGAATCATTTCCAGCAAGAATGTTCGTTTTCATAAGACGAAGGTGTGGAGTCGGTATTTTAAGAAACTTTCAGCGAATGTTTTGAACAAGGTTTTCCCTTGCGTTTAACCTCGAAACTAATATAGAATTAGTAGATAAACAGTGTGAGAGAAAGGAATTGTGTTAACAAGGGCAGGGATTATGTGGCAATTGAGCCTCTTCTTGATTCATAAAGCGACGACATACCAGGAGGAAAGGCATCGAAACGCGATAGAAGAGAGGAGCAATGTAGAAATAGGCGTAGTAGGTCGTGTTCTCTTATGCACCAGGTTTATCTGTAAATGTTGTTTTTTTTTTTTTTTTTGCTTTTGTTCACATTTTTTATAACATTAATATTTTTTTTTAATCTGTTTTAACAATTTTTAATGTATCGTTATTCATTTAAAATAGGATTTTAATTGCTTACCTGAGGGAGTGAAGCGTAGGTAAACGATTGCAATATAAACTAATTGTAAAACTGTTAACTGTCAATCATTTCAACTATTTTCAATTGCTTGAAATTGTTTTCTACGTTGTTTTCTTTTTTGTACAATTTTAATTGCAATTCAATAGTTTTACGTTTATTTTGTAACTGAAAGTTCGCAGACAGTTGTAGTTTAATCTTATTTATAAAAAAAAACAAAAAAAAAAAACAAAAAAAACAAAAAAACAAAAAAGAAAAAAGAAAAGAATGGAAAATTTTCGTAAACAAGAATTCATGATAATAGCTACAGTCGAAGTAACAGTGACAGCTTAACACTTCAAATTGATGAAATTTCGCCGTACAGGATGTCTGTGGAGACTAACTATGAAGAAATATAAATGATCAAAAAACAAAAAAAAAAAAAAAAAAAAAAAAAGAAGTAAATTAAATAAAAATAAAGAGAGAGTTTTTGGTATACTTATCGAAAAATAGAGGAAGAGTGTGTAGAGAAAAAGCGCCAAAAAAACCGAGCTATATACGCACTATTTCGCTTGACAACATTGGCTTAAATAAATAATCGCATACATTAAAGTATCAACAACACATTAGTGAGGATTGAAAAATAAAAGTTTAGAGAGTCTGAAATCAAATAGAAACCCTTGGCATGCGGTATGTGGATGAGTAGTGCATATCAAAAACAACAAACCAAACAATCTAAATAGAACAAAGAGACCAAAAAATAAATCAATAGAAAGTGTGAAAATAGATGAAAAAGGGGCAGAGCGGACGAGAGAGAGAGAGCGTCAGAGAAACAAACCAGAAAAAAACATTTCGAAAGTTTATTGTTATAAAATTATAAAAACAAAAAAGGGATATATGCGGCGACACAATTTTTATTCCAAAATAAGAAACAAAAAAAAAAAAAAAAAAAAATTAAAAATAAAAAAAATGAAAAAGAATTGAAACTAACTTTTGTTTTAATACATTTAGTTTTCTATTTTCCATGTTTTCCTTTTGATTTCCTCCCCGTGTTTTTCCATTTTACATATTTTTACGTTCTGAGTTATTCTAGTTTCTGTATCATTGCTCACATGCTCGTATGTGCATACTAAAGTAAAGTAAAGTGTAACAGTTCCCCCTATATTTTGTTTTAGAAACTTGAAACTTTTAATATGTTTTTTATGCACATACAATATATACAATCATGTTTGTATATATACACACACACACACACATATATATATATATATATATACGCAACACACACACACACACACACACACACACCAAGATAGATAGACATATGCATACGCATACATAATGAAAAAAATATAGATGAAAAGGCAGCAAGTGAGAGAGGAAGAGACTACTTGTTAGTATGAACAGTGTGCATGTATGTGTTGAAAACAATTGTATTGTAAAAATCAGCGGGTCCAAACCGCATTATGTGGTGGAATGTCTATCTGCATGTGAACAAAAGCAATGCTGCAGTAAAGTTCTGCTTTTTGTTGCTGTTCCTCTATTTGTAGTTTAGCCAAAACACAAATGTAAATCCTTTGGTGCGGTAATGGAATTTCTATGTTAATAGTAAATATTAAATTTGCGCGAACTAAAACAACTTATTTTTCAATACAATGCAAACAACAAAAAATTAAATGTTTTATCTAGTTAACATAACCATAATATTGTGGTAGTGATTGCTTACCTTTTTTTTTTTTTTTTCTCCTTATTTTTGACAAATTTTCACAACAAGCACATGAGCAATTATTTTATTATTAGATTTTAAAGATGAAATATAATAATAATAATAATAATAATAATAGTGAGTAATGTTTAATTGCCTTTCATTTGAATTCATTTCGTTTTAGGCGCCATATTCGAGCAGGGTACTGATGAAGTGCAATCAGCCTTTAAGTATGCAATGCTGAATCATAATTTGAACGTATCATCACGACGCTTTGAGTTGCAAGCCTACGTCGACGTCATTAATACAGCCGACGCCTTTAAACTGTCTCGTTTAAGTAGGTGATCGTTTAAATCGCTCGCATTCACTTTTTGATTCATTCATGCTCGACAATCACTTTCACTTTAAATTAAAATTCACTACTATTCGAATGTTTTTTCGTTTCGTATCTCGTTATTTCACCTTCATACTCAATATCAAAAACCTTGTTTTTTTTTTATATTTCTTTATTAACCCTGCGGACAACGATACGCGTATTCACACATAAATTACTACGCATCCCTAGTATGCAATCAATTTTCGCGTGGTGTTTATTCAATGCTTGGCGCTGTTTCGCCGGATTCATTTGATACATTGCATTCGTACAGCAATACATTTCAAATGCCGTTTGTGACGCCATGGTTTCCCGAAAAAGTAAGTCAACATTTGTTTTTTTCTTTTGTTTTTTTTTTTTTTCTTTTTTTTTTTTTTTTTTTTTTTTTTGCAATGATCATCAACTTCGCTACTTTGTAAACAAAGCACCAATAGTTATATAAACCTTGTTAGTATGTACGCGTAGCGCGTAGGAATGCCCCCAAAGGGATATGATAAGTACTGCTGCGTTTAACGATTGATAGCGACATCTCTCCCTCCTTTTACGTCATTTAAAACAATATATATAGATATATATATATATATATATATATATATATATATATATATATATCATTTTTAAATCCAAAAAAACTTATTATTAAATGAAAAATAAGCACAGGTGGGAGATTGAATTTGAACAATGTAGTCCAAGCACAGCTTAGAGCAATAAAGTTACTTTTAATGAATATTTTCAGACATTTATTTAGTGCTTTCAGAAATGAGCGCATAAACGATTTTCATTCATTTCTCTGATTAGATTGGATACAAGACCAAGAAAATTCACAAAATCGTATACACAAAGGCATCACAAACACTTTACAGTTGCACGTATATTAAGGGAATTTGAACAAAAAACAAAAAAAAAAAAAAAAAAAAATTAACTAACATTGTAGGTGCCTTTGTAATCGAAAAGTTGGAAAATTCGAAAAACAATTTTGAAGATTTCTACGTAGTTTTTGCACCCTTTTGCTAATCAAATACGAATCGCAGCAGAATTGAAAAAAAAAAAAAGACAATGGATGCCAATAAACTAATAGAAGAAGGTGAAAACGCATTTCACTTCCGCGCTATTCAATATGACAGAAGGTCATCAGAATAAGTCAATTATTACCAAGCGCGATATATCAACTTTGTAGATAAGCTTATCCCCCTATGTCTGTCGGTTTAGTTACGATACAAAGAGTGCACTGTGTAGCGCAACAATTCATTTATTTAAAAAGTCCTTGCAACCAACTCTCCGAAATATTTCACCAATGGAATTTCATAATTAAACTCATGTCAAAATCAATAAAGTCACTAGTCAGTGAGACACTGACTAGTTCTACTCATCCATCAAAATCCTTTCCTTACCCATACGAAAAATATGAAAATGGAAGTTTATGGTCGCTTCTAATACATGAATAACCATCAAATCCGTTTACTCTCACCTTAATAGTGCATAGTTTTAAAGCATGATGAGATTGTTTTGCCAGCCTAGTTAAGTACATACATCAATCGCTAAATGGCTCAAAAGTTTTGAATGTCGTCAAAAAAGTGGTAAAGGGAAAGATAAAAAGATCGTGTTTGCTAAAAATTTTACATAATCTAAAATATCTATATCAAAAGCCATTGTAGTTGCGTACGTTGTTGATCCAAGGGAACATGTATATATCTGTATATAGGAAACCTTTAACTTGTAATTTACTTTTGATACATTTCGTTTGAAGGCTGATACCATCTAAAAACTCAATGGACTCGTCATTAGTCATCCTAAGTACGGTTGTTAAAGTATACAGAAAAAATATATATAAATGAATTTATCCTCTATGAGTAACGAGAAGTAATATATTATTTTTCTCGAAAAATATTTATTTATTCATCAATATCTACTTTGTCCCTTTTCAAAGTAATGCCCCTTGGATATAACACCACACCTTTGCTAGCGTTTTTTTTTAATTCTCGATATGCGATTTCCGATATGCGATTTTTGATATGGCCTTGAGGATTTCTAGCAAATCTCTGCCTTTTCATGAGCTTTCCCAGTTTCGGGAACAGAAAAAAGTCGCAGAAAGCCAAGTGCTATAACGTGGTGAGCTGGCGCATTATGCTGCCGCACGTGTTGCGTTCAAAACATCCGAAAAAATTATATAGCGCGAGCCAAGCGATAGGCCGACAGCCTCAGCAACTTCGCCATAACAATTCGTTGCAATGCTTCAACCTTTTCATCGGTTGTTGGCGTTCTGAGGCGTCTATGGCGGATATCGTCATTAACACGACTTCGGTCTTGGGTGAAGAGTTTGTATAACTTATAAACATTTGCTTTTCTTTTGCTTGATCCATCGTCAAGCACACGAAAACACAACTAGCTTAACAGTTCTGTCAGAGAGAGAGAGAGAGAAACATATGCTGGGGTTGCGTGTACGAACATAACGAGAAAAAAGTGACAAATCGAATGGTCATAGCCTTCGAAATTTGAAGAGTCAACTTTTCCTTTTAACACACTTCATATCGGGCATATACAAACGTACATTGGTATGTGGATGTTTTCATTTTTTCCAATTTGTTCGAAAATCCTTTCGGAACCGTTGCCAATGCAATCACACTGATGACAGGACAACGTATCTATATTTTTGCTTGACTTTTAGATGCAAATAGAATTGTACGCTTTAAGGCACAACTTCAATCGCAAGTTGATTTTTAAAAGAAAAATTTCACACCGTTATCCGGTTCGGGTGTTCCCAAATAAATCTCTTAACATCATTTCGTAAAAAGGGAATTTATTCATATTTTAAAGGAAGAAGTCAACGAGGAAGAAAATGATGAAATTTAAAATGTAAATAAAACAATAAAAATGATAAAGTTAATGTTTGTCTTCCTTATCTTGCAAAGTAATCATGCAACGTTTGTAAAAGAAATTCATTCTGAAATTTGTGATAACGTGATGACTTTTCATAAAACTCTTTTAGTCTGTTATCATTTTAATTTTTTTTTTTTTTTTTTTTTTTTGTTTCTCTTCGCTATTTATATATGTAGGATATATATATGTGTATGGACTGTTGTCATTTTTACTTTATTTTATTTTTGTACTATTTTCCTCTCCCTTTTTATAGGTATTGACACCATCGTCCGGTTTTTTAGATTTTGCCATTAGCATGCGTCCCGATTATCATCAAGCCATTATTGATACAATACAATTTTATGGTTGGCGTAAAATCATTTATCTCTATGACTCACACGACGGTAAGTACGGTTATAAATATAAAAACGTATATACGGTACATACGCATAACTACCGATATAAATAAGCGCAAAAAAGTTATAAACAATTTGGGGTGAAAATGGGTAAAATACCAAGGGATTGGAATCAAAAATATTTGATCGGTTAAATCAATTTATCGCATTTTTTTACTTACGTTTACCGCAAGCGATGTCATAAGTTTGTTAAAAATCTGTTACGTATCGATGACTGCATAACGCCCATATATTCTTGACCTGCGATAATGGCGTCGCAATTCACAATCAAAATTACGATTTAAAGAAAGCCAAAAAAAAAAAAAAAAAAAAAAAAAAAAAAACAGAAAATTGTTGTTTCAAATGAGAATGTTTTCTACTACTCTACGTTGAAGGCGTTCAAATTGACTGAAAGTCTGGCTCATTGCAATTCCGTTGCTAAGGCCGATAATCTTGCAAACCACTGTTAAAATTCGCATTGGTAGCAAAAACCGTGTTAAGCTGCAAGGCAAAGCAGAACCTGAAAGTCCACTTGAAGTACTTAGTTGTGAGATGTGTTGCCAACTTAATCAAAACACACCTTCAACTAACAGATTTTTTAATGTGCTATTATATAATAATAGCCCGTCACTTAATCTTATTGTCTATGTGTATATATGTATATGAGAGTTCAATCGTACAAGACTAGAAGAAGCATTGCAAATACAAGTTCCCGTAAATAATTTGTAAATAGATCTCCTAAGAAATGTAGATAAAATCCACACTATCCCAAAAGTCACAATTCATTGGCACAAATTTAATCCCGAAAGACATAAAACCCGAAAGAGCGATTTTACCTTACAATCCATATATAAATTCCTAGTGCACAACATAACGATCACTTTGAAGAAAACTGTTACCATCACCTAGAGTTTTGAGCAAACTTGGCGACGTTTCTTCGGTCTTGACTTGATGTTAGCTCGATTGATCGATTGTTTCAAGGTCGTATACGTAGATCTAAGTCTCTCCTCCCGTAATGATCGTAGACTATAAGTAATGCAACTTTTTTGCTCAAGGAGATCACACATTGTCAAAATCGAAAGAAATTCCTTCTATGTCCTACAGAGCCAAGCACAGCTGAAACAGTAGTGACGTTTATGATGGGGATTTCAACACAGATGCCTGTCACCGTGCTACCAATTTCGAAAAAAAAGGCTTTATTTAAAAATAAATGGGAGTTTTCGGAATTATAAACAAGTTTATTTTTTGCACACAGTGTATATATATATATATATATATATATATACATATATATATATATGTCCTCCAAGAAAGGGTGTAAGTGCAGCTATAAGATATTGAATTAAACTGTGAGTTTTCCATTTGAGACATTAGGCACGAGTCCGAAATATGCTACAGCAGCGTAGCCCTAATTCAGGTTTTTGAAGATATAAGCAGATCTGCTGCGATATCAAAAGTGTAAATAAGTATAATGCAGATTTGGCGAGCTATTAACATCGACGATAAAGCTAAATATCCATTGCAGCCGCATTTGTGGACGTCAGGCGATGTTGTTAAATTCTGGTTTGTATCATTGAAATGAAACCATCACTAGGCAGCGCTATGAACAATAACAATTGAAGACTGATCGGAAAACGGAGCCTGTATGCTAAAAATGATCGTATTGTGATCCGTATTACAAAACTCGTCGAAGAAGCCTTAGCAGGATGAATGTAGTGAAATGCGCTACACTCTCAACCGATATCAGTATACCTTAGTCCTTTAGACCTGGTGTGCATGTTTTGATTGGCTTTGGAATGCTTTCAAAATTGCGATGAAAAGTTGAATGGGTCTGGACTAGTTAAGTCATCGTCATCGCCATCGGTTCAAAAGCACTGAACGCAGCCTAACTGTGTAACTGTGTAAATAAAAAAAGCAATATAGCCATCTGGGCTACCAGGGCTAGTGTCATTAGTTTAGAGGTAAAAGACGTTAAAGTGTTGACAATCGAACCCACGTCCTCTTGCTAACGAACAATGGGGCTAGGGAAAATCGTGCTATTTGGGGGGGAATACATACACATCTACAGATTTGCAATTTACTCTGACGTTCTTTGTTTTTTTTTTTGAAATATTGCTTCGATTCAATATATGCCACACATTCGGGTAATATAGTAAAATTATTTTATCTCTTCTTTAACTAACTCGATTAGAGTTGATTTGAATATGGAGTAACGGTTAGGACAACATATATGTGTGTATATATGTACACATGTGCATATATATATATATATTCGAAACATTTAATTAATTAAAGACTGTTCTCATTTCAACACCAACTAGTTGTGGACATTAAATAATTCACTGCAAGCCAAATGTAATCTTTCTCCTGTAGTTTGCATGTTTTTATTAAATAGTTTGGTAGAATAACTGTATAAATTTGGCAAGGCGTATGAGTGATAAATATGAAAACAAAAAAAAAACAAAAAAAAAAAATGAATTTTTTTTATTTTTTCAATGTCGGACTGCAATGTTAGTCCATTTTTAAACTTACACTCTCGCGGTGTATACAAAAACATACGCTTTGTATGGCGAATAAGCATGCGAGAGCACGAAACTATGAAACATGATAAGTAAAATTCTCGATAACACATTTGGCCCTTTTGCGATAAGTTTCGCTAGGTGAGGTAAACGAATGGCTACAATAATCCGATTATATTAAGGAGTCTAAAAAGTATTCGCCTCAATAATGTAGATAGCGTTAATTACTCTTAACCATTATTGCATATAAGTGGGAATCGTATAAATTAAATTCAGGAATAAATGAATTTCGAATGCCTGAAGACTGCATCATTTGGACTTGTCTTAGTTTTTATTTATTTATTTATTTTTTTTTTTTGTTCCAAGTTTGCCGATAATTTAGTAAAAATAACACTTACGGCTCTACGTAAAAGTTAAGCAAAATGTATAATAAACTGTGTTATATATATATATATATACGTATGCATTCGAAAAAGGAAAGATTTGTTCCAGCATTAAATAAAAACTATTTTCATATAATTTGACGACACTGACACTGTTAGTCAAAGGGACAAAAATTATTAAAAAATCCTTCAAAAAGTCTTTGATTGATGAAGAATTCATTGAGATAGCTCAGTGTTGAGCAGTGTCTCTATTTTGTTTTGCATCATTTCTTTAATGTCACATTGATAAAAAAAAAAAAAAATAATAATAATAATAATAATAACAATAATTATAATAATAATAGTAATAATAATAATAATAATAATAATAATAATAATAACAGAAGAGATATATAGAACGACTAGGAATGAAAGACAAGAAATTCATTCAAAAGTAGTTAGTTGTTTTTCCTTTTTTTCTCCCTAGATATGTAAGTCTGCATTTCTATCGCTTCCTCTCTCTGACACACTCTCCCTCCTTCTCCCACTTTATCGCTTTTTATCAGGGTTGTGAATATTTAGGTTAATTTTTCGTTCTAGGCCCAGGGATACACTTGCTATACATTGTTGCTGTTTTTTGTCGTTACTGTTATTGTTGTTCTTAATGTAAACATTTTGTGTAATTTAATTCATTTTCATAATACACACAACAATCTATACACATACACACACACACACACACACAAACACACAAACATGTACATACAGTTAGGCGCATATAAACAGACAATCAAAAAATCTTTCCACTCGTCTTTACTCTCGTTTTGTTGTATATCTTTTGTTTTGTTTGTTTATTTGTCTGTTTATTTGTTTGTATTTGTAAACGAAATACTTGTGCATTCACAACCTTGGCATGGCCTTTGGCTTTTATTTGCTGGATATATGTGTATGTATGAATTTACTGACGTTCATTCGTTGCTGCGTTTATTTTGTTTATTTTTAAAAAGAAATATGCACACATGCTTACATATACACCTATATGTGTGCATATATAGATACGCATACACATACTCATTTGTATAAAATAATGAAAATAAAAAAAAAAAAAAAAAAAAAAAACGGTCGTTACGTGCATACACATATAAATGTATGTGAAATCGTAAAACAAACATGAAATGTAAAGTGTATTTATGTGCATACACTTAGCTTCAGGTCGCACACACATTCCGCGCACATCTACAACTTTATTTACAATAATAGACGTTACACAAAATATAAAATAAAAAAAAAAAAATACTGTAAAAATGAGAAAACATAGAGAGAACATAGTAAGCGTATCACTTTTAGTTTGGATGTATATATGTGTCATATATTATCGTAAATAAAGTACGCACAGAAATACAAAGGCAAACATGCATTTGCAGTCAACAGCCAACCAAGCATATGTGTGTGTTAGTTAATGACATGGAGGAGCAATAACTGTAAATGTAACTGAAGTGCATCATCTTGTTAATGACAGAGGGTGACAGAGTAAGCTTGAAAAGCATTTTATCTTAACGCCTTAGAAATATTTATAAGAACTTTAATCAGTATCAGCAAAACAAAAAAAAAAAAAAAAAAAAAAACAAATAATAAGAATAGAAACAATAACAAGAACATGAAACGTAAACTTTAAATAATGTGTAAAAACAGAGAGAGAGAGAGAGAGAGAGAGAGAGAGAGAGAAAGAAAGAAAGATAAAGAGTTTACAAAGAACACATTCACTCATTTTGACTTTTAAGTAAAATTTTGAAATTTTAACCAAAGCAAACTCTCTATTTCGCACACTTGAATAGAATTTTATATTAATTCACTCTTTCGGACTACAAATAACTTTCAATGATATTTCGGATGTGAAATGCGAAACTCAAACTTGCTCTAACTTGAACACAGACGCTTACCTGCCACTGGCCTACGTACACATGCATTAGACATGTGTGTCCATTCACATATTCATTCACGTCTCATTTACTTTAAATTTGTACCTTTTGTGTAAAAAGAAAAAAATATAAAAAAAAAAAATAAAGCATTTTTTCACGCCTTCCTGGCTTTAACTCTCGTTTTACCTACTTTTACTACTACTATACTC